CAGGTCAGCCAAGGCCAGGTCAGTGCCTATCTTGTCCCCAACTCATCTTCCCAGAGCCCAGAGCCTGCTTCTCCTCCCTGTCCAGCCCTGACCCCAGGCGGGGGGGAAGGGGTCTGGACTCAGACTGTGAATGGAAAATGTGATTAATAATCAAAAAAACATCCAAGAGGAAGAGACCAGGAAAACAACTTCAGGAAGGCTCCTTGCCCAGGGGAGGGGGGCCATGTCCTGGGCCTCAGGACAGCTTTGGCCACCCTTTCTGGGATGCAGCCACAGGAGTGGGTAATTTTAGCCAAAAGCAGAAGGGGGGGGAACCATGTTAATCACTTGTTTTAAGAGATGCCCCCAGTGTAAGTTATGCTTTCTCTAGGAGCTTTCTCTCATTCTGATACCCCTCCTAGTGGTACCCCAGCTCAGACACATTGGATGGGGGAGGGGTAGAGACTCTGGATTGGGGGTAGAGGAGGGATTTCAACATGAGATGTTTTCTTCATTAGCAGAGAACATAGGGGGAAATTCCCTTTCTTCTTGGGTCTGGGCAGCCCAATTGGACACTCAAAAGTTATTGTGAAAAATAGAGCCTCAGGCTGCAGGGTAGGGTGAGGGTTATAATGAAAAGATGTCTCTGCCCTCCATTCAGATTTCTGACTTCCAGGGGGTTACTGGGCCTTAATCCTCCTTCCAGAGATTTGATTCCCAATGCTTCCATCTGTCCTCAGAATTCCTTCTTAGCAAAGCAGGAGGAACTCTGATTAGACTGGAGTTAGAACTTCCTGATGGAAAGGAAGAAAACGAGGGAAAGGAGGCGTTGGGCCTATTGAACGACTTAGAATTGGTAATCTGGTAGGTTAAAAAAAAAATCTGCCATTTGCCTGGGACACTAGTGGAAGCCCCTCTATCAGGGGCCCTCGTGGGGTAGAAAAGGAGCTCCAGGGAACCTGGAGGACTTCAGTTTGAATGTTTTGCCTCCCTACTGAGGCTCCACCTCTCTCCCACCTTCAGGGAATGCTTGCCCTTTTCTGGTACTAGGGGTTGGTGGGGGGGGGTCAGGGCACAGAGAGGCAGTCGTCCGTCCCCAGTCCCCACCGTAGGATTTCAGAAGGATTGCGAACGCGCCCCAGGTGCTGTCCCAGGATGGTGCTGGAGTGTTTTAGGATGAGGGGGGGTGAGTCGCTCATGGGGGTGGCTGGTCTGGTCTCTGACTTGGGGGGGCTCTGGGCCCCCCCCTCCCTGGCTCGGCCCGAGGCTGTGTCGGGATCGGGTTTCTCGGCGCCTGGAGCCTCCGCGAGGCCGAGCTGTTCCCGGGCCCCGGCCAAGCCGCCCCGGGCGCTGGCACTGTGCGAGGAAGCAGGGGGAGGGGGGTGCACGGGGGGGGGGTGTAAGGGGGGCTGCGAGGGCGTTTACGTAACTGCCTCCCAGAGCCCGCCCCGCCCCGCCAACCCAGTGCGATTGAGAGTTTGTGTGACTGTGTGTGTGCCTGTGTGACACACGACTGTGGCTGTGCCTTGTGTATGCTTCGGCTGTGTGATTCAGAGATTCAGTTCCATGCAGACCTCAGGCTCCTAGCTTAAGCAAGGGTCCCATGACTCATGCACCATAGTGAGGCCGAACATATGCGCTTTGTTCTGTGAAACAGGGTATGTGACTTTATGTGACCCCGTCTTTAGTGCTTCTAAGGCAGCCTGTGTGAGAGTGTAACTATTAGCCAGGGGTTGCCTCGCCCTGGAACCTTCTGGTGCATGGCTGTTAGAGGAAAGGTGAGACCACGTAGGTAGCTTTCCTTCCTGGAGACAGATCAATTTAAATGGAAAAGCGTTGGTTGTTGCAGCCTACAGGCCTGAAAGGGCAGTTAACTCTGGAGTGGGGTGGGGTGGGGTGGCCCCAGTGCTTCCCCTCACAGTAGCCATAACCCCCAGGAGGGTTAGTGTGTCTTTGCTCAGTGGTAGAGTCCTTGCCCTGGCACTTCCCGGGATCCATCTGGACCATCGCGATAACAATAACAGAGTGCAGTAACAAATGAGCAAAGACACCTGAAGTCAAGGAACGTGTCTCCAGTGCCCCAAGGCCTCTCAAGCTTACCTAATTCTGGGATCCCCATTATTGTGGGTCTTCTACTCTGCGGTTATGACTTCCTGCCACTCGGCCACAGTTGAGGAAGATGGTGAAAATGGGGCAAGCGTGAATCTGCTGAGGCCACAGTTTGAATGAAGGTGTCTGAGTGGGGTCTACCTTCCCACTGTAAGAGAAGGGGCTGGCGCAGACATGGGGTGGCCAGCTCTCTCCAGGAGAGCTGGAAAGCCGATGCGGCCAGAGGTGAAGGCGGGTCTCAGCAGCCTGGCTCTGCCCGTGGGCGGCAGACCCTAAGGCTTCAACAGGGCTGGGGAAGCACAGTGGCTAGGGAGTAGACACGGCATCCGGAACAGCAGGAGTGAAAAGCTGTTGGCCCAGCTCAGTGGGAAGAACGTAGGTTCTGAGCTAGGTGATCACAGGATGGAAAGGGGACAGACCCTGCCTTGTTCCGCAGGTCCCCACGGCCTCAGCGCCGAGCGGGAGTCGCAGCCCGAGGACGCGCACCCCACTCTTCCCGCCAGGTGGCGCTGCGGCCCCGAGGACGCGAGCGCGGTCGCTGGTTCCGCTCCAGGCGCTGCCGTCCGACAGGCCCCCTCCCCCCAGCACCACCCCGGGTCCGACGTGCGTCGCTCAACCTCAATCACACTGAGTTGTATTCCTGGACTTGTGCGACGCCGTTCGTCAGATGCGAACGGTGATCTGCCCCAGGTGGCTGCGGCAGTGATGACCGCAGCCTCCCCGTGCCCGAGTGTCGTTGGGGGACGTTTGTCGGGGCGTAATTCCTGACTGCCCTCAACCTGTAGAGAGCCCACCTGAAAAATCAAGTCGGCCCACTCAAGACCTGCCCATCTCCGTGTCCGTTTGTCGGCCTGTCCTCAGCCCGGTGTGAGCGCGTGGGCCCGCCAGCATCAGCCCCTTCTCCAGAACCTGACTCGGTCCAGGCCTACTATCAGCACAGAAAGAGAATCCTGGCCTGTGTCCCCATCACCAACGCTCCATATTTCGTTGCACCTGCTGCATCCCTTCCCTCAGCCCTAATTAGGGGCTGCATGATGGGGACCTGAGGTGGTCCAGAGAAGCCAGTTAGAGAGCATCTGCTGTGGGTGGTCATGTGACCCCGGCAGGGCTTAGCTACGCCTCTGTGTGTCCTTAAGCCCTGGCCCACCCTCTCTGAGCTTCAGCCCAGCATGACTCCAGACTGTTGAGCGGTAGGGCCATGGAAGTGAAAACTGAAAAGCTTCTCAGTGGCGGGAAGGTTTTCCTCTGCAGTAGAGTCTCTGAGGCATTTGTTGGGAAAGGGCCCGGGCGCTGTAGGCAGCCTGCTGGGAAGGGTGTGAAGAAAGAGCGAGGTATTTCCCTCCCCTAGCCCTCAGCCGGGGAACAGTTCTCTGGAGAGGCAAGGCCCAGGGATTATGGGTCAAAGGCCAGTTGAAAAATCCAGGAGGTGGACCTCTGGTTCTCTGCCTCTGGCATCCCCTTTTCTGTTGTGCTTTCGTGTGGCCTCAGAAGTTGATCAGGTTGTCGAACTGAACCTTAATCTCCCATATCATAGCCAGAACAGGGGCCTAGGTCCAGTGAAATGGACCTCGCCCTGTGCCCAAGGCCCGGGCTGCAGAGGTGGGGATGAGGTGAGGGAGCTGCCAGAGCCAAGCTCAGCTCTCAGAGGGGCATGCCCTGCTCTGGGACTGTCCGGCCAGGCAGTTAAGTCGCGGCTTCCCTAAAGCTGCCCTCCAGGCCCGGTGTCCCGGCGATGGCAAGAGCCTGGGCATCCAGCCTGGTCCCTGGAGTCGTGCAAGCGTAAAGCACGTTAACATCGGACGAGGGGTCAGAAGGGAGGTCGTTGGTGGGGGCGATAGGAAATGGGGAGGGGTAAGAGGGCTGGTTTAATGGGCACAGGGGGACTCTGCCTCGTACTGGGGATGCTACAACCCCAGAGTTGGTCCCGGGTGTGCCCGAGTGTCGGTGCAAGCCACTGAGTGGCAGAGCGGCAGAGTGGCGTGCGCAGGAGAGACCTGGCCAAGCCGAGAGCCTGGTGGGCGATGTCGGCGGTGGGGGCGCGCCCGGCCGCCCTAGGAGAGCGGGCGGAGTGGGTGTGGGTGTGTGCGCGCGCGTTTGCGAGACCCGCGGCCCTGGGCGCGCGTGAAGCGCCGGGTCCCGAGCCATCCGGAGGGCGCGCCAGAGAAAGGGCGAAGGCGAGGGGGCCACGCGTGCCAGTGCCGAGCGTGCCAGCGGGGGTAGGGAGCCTGCCTGCGCGGGGCGAGTGGGAGTGGGGGCTCTCAGGCCTGCGCGGGCGAGCGTGCCCCTGCGAGCGTGCCGCGCGTGCCAGGCGCGGGGACGTGCCAGGGCGGGGGCGCGCGGGGGCCGCGGCGGGGAGGGGGTCGCGGTGCGCGGCCGCGGAGGCGCGGGGAGACAAGGCGAGAGGGGGAGGGGAGCGAGGGCGCGCGCGGCCGGGCGGGCGCCCGCGGTCACATGGGCGAGGGAAGGAGGGAGGGCGCGCGCGAGGGCGGGGGGGGGTGGGGGGGGTTAAAGCCGCGGAGAGCCGCGGAGCCGGTGCAGAGCGGGCGGCGGCGGAGGCGGCTGCAGCCGGCGCGGCGCGGGGCTCGGCAGCGGGATCCGGCCGCGGCGCTCGCTCCGCGCTCCTGCCTGGCTCTCCGCCTGAGGCGGCCGAAGGGCGCGGCGCGGAGCCCGGCGGCTCGAGGGCGCGGTGAGTGCTCCGCGGCCGTCCGCGCGAGGCTTGACCCTCGGACGCGCGGGCGGACGGCCCCGCGGCCCTCGTGCGTGCGGGCCGGGCGAGGGGGCACGCGTGGGCCCCGCGGTCGGGGGAGGTAGGAAAGTTCACGAGAAACTTTGCCCGCAAACTCGGGGCCAGGGGCGCACGAGCGGCAGCCCCCTCCGTCCGAGCGCGCCAGGGGTTGGGCGTGGTGGTGGCGATGGTGAAGCTCCGCGGTCGGCTGGAGGGAGGTGGCCAGGGCGGACGTCCTAGTGTCCCTGTTCCTTCCAACCTTCAGCAGCACGCGCGGGGTCTGGGAAAATTCCAGAGCTGGGGGCTCACGGTGGCCCCCACGCACCCAGAGCTTGCTTCTTTCTCGGGGTGGGGGAGACCTGGACTTGAGGGCGCCGCGGAGTGTGAAGAGATGGCTCCTCTTCTGCCAGTGCCCGGGTATCCGTGTGAATCCGCGCGTGGGGTGTGTGTGTGTCGGTGTGAGCCTGTCTGTGGTTTTCTCACGAGTCCGCCTGGCCGTATGTCCACGCAGCGGGTCCTCCTCAGTGTGTCTCTTTGTAAGTCCTCTGGTTGGTGTGCTTCCAAGCCCCTGGCGTATCCCCAAGTGTCTCTTTTGTGAGTCTGCCCATGTGTGCCTCCTGGTGTGCCCAGGTTGTACAGAGAAGTGTATCTCCCAGCGCGTGGGGGCTGGGCCGCGGGGAGGTCATCAGACGGACAGCTCTCCTCGCTCCCCGCTCTGCCGAGCTGCTCCGGCGGCGGCGTCTAGCCCGCTGCTCCCGGGCCCCCTCCCCCTCCGGTAGCTTCAGGCGGGGGAGGACTATTTCACGCCTTGTTGAAAATTCAGGCTTTTCTTTCTGTCTGTCTGGTCTCTCTGTTTGAGAATTCATCCCCCTCACTCCCGCATGTACGTTATGTGTGAGTATCCATGAGCCCGGCACCATATCGTGCCGGCAACACTGGGCGTGTGTGTGCTGTGTCTTTAACACAAGTTGTTTTGCCTGTGGTGTGTTTGTGTCTGTGTCACAGGGTGTATCTCTGTGCCATAGTCACTTAAGTGTCAAGTGTTGGGAATACTGAGTGTGTTTGTGCATCAGGTAACTGTTGTGTGTCCCGGCGTCTGAAACATGAAAGCATTTTTGTATGTCTAACCCCAAGTGGGGCTTGACCAATTGGACATCCATGGAGAGGCAGGGTGAGCTGGACAGTGAGTCTCCACTCTGACAGCCCACACAAATCCTTCTATGGTTCTGAAGCTCCAGGAAGGATTAAGATGGAGCTAAGGCTTCAGACTCTGTCAGAACTGATACTCCAGTTGGGACTCTGAGTCTACCCAGTCTATGAGTTTAAAGTTCACACTCAGGACTTCCTGGGGCTCTGGAATTCACACTCAGATTCACACTGGAACACTTAAACTCATTCCAGAGACTCCGGGTTTACACTTGTGTTCAGAATTACACCAGGAGAGGAGGGTTCATATTCAGATTTACCCTGAGCTCCTGGGCTCTGCCCAATTCTGGGCGCACACAGCTCTGTATCCTTTAATGCATAGGTTTACACTGAGACTGAGAGCTGGCCCACAGCAGCTCAGTGGGGCTCAAGGACTGGTCCTCTGACTGTCTAAGACCACAGCGTACCTTTAGATTGCCAGGTTCATTCAAAGACTGTCACACTAAGACCAGAGGCCCACATTCAAACTTACATAGAGAACAAACGTAGGGCTCACGTGTGCACTTAGGGACTCTTTTGGGACCCTGCAGTTCCAGTCAGACTCACACCCTGTGTGGCCTTTGCACTCTCACCACTCTCACGTCAGATTCAGCAGCGCTCACACAGACAGGAGGCCCTTTGGTCCACACTTAGATTCACATGGTTCCCTCGCTGTGAAATCCTGGGACTCGCACTCAGATTCACCCTTAGGAGGATCTGAGAGTTCCCACTTAGGCTCATGTTACGAACTCTGCTGCCCACTCTGTGGTTCTCACTTCTGCCCTGTAACCGGAGTGTCACACGGGGACTCTGAGGCACTTGCACTTACAGGGGCACTGTGGGCTGGCGTTCTTATTTTACAGGGAGCCTGGACTTATACCCAGAATGCCCTGAAGGCCAAGAGCTCATACTGTTTAGTTATTTGGGGCTCACTCTGGCCCCTTGAGAGCTACAGTCAGGCAGACCTCAGGACCTTTGCTCACACACATCCGCTTGGCTCCCTCGCACTTCCGAGGACCAACCAAGCAGAAGAAACCCACACTCTGACACTACAGCCGGATGTTCCCTCGGAACTCGCACTTCTGGGAGTCCTGTGGCTCACACTCAGACTCACACTAACATGGCGATGTTCACAGTTCCAACAGAGCCAGCCTAGACTTTGTCACTCGTTTCCGCCTTTTTCTCTGGGTTGTGATGCTGTGTCGGGGCAGTCAAGGTGGAGAACAGAAATGTGTCCTGGGTGACGATGACGCATGCATTTTGTTCTGTCTGGTCTTTCACGTGGACTGTGATTGTGGTAGGAAACACTGAGTGTTCGAACTTCCCTTCCAGCCTTGCACAAGCCACTGAGGCTCTTGGCAGAATGTCTGAGTGGTTTGTTGGTACAGGGGTCAGTGAACCAGCGGATTCCACCGTGTGCCATGTACATATTCCTTAAATAGTTGTGGGCACCTCTTCCTTGGTAGAAAGGAGCAGGGCCAGGCTGGGGGAACTAAGTCCTCTTCACGAGAAGCCTCCCTCCCCTCAACCCTTGGGTGGGGGGAGGGGCTCCAGGGAAGTTCTCAGGAGCTTGTGTGATTCTGAGAGAAAGGAGGCTGTATCTGATTGCACCCTGTCTACTCTCCAGCTCTTAGAAGGGTCGGGTACGGTATGTCTCATGGCTTCAGTGTTACCCAGGAACATTCACCTAGCCCCTGCTGCCTGAAGATGAGAGGTCCTACCCCAGGACTCTACCTGCCTTGGAGAAATGGTCCTAGACTTCACCAGCCTCTCTCGCCCCCCCCCCC